GATATCCGCGTGAAAGCGAACCTTCAATTAGGCTCGGTAACGAAAGTACAAGCGAAATGCACGGGACAGGTACACCGTACTCCTGACGTTCTAATAACTTGGAAATCAATTACGCGAACGGTTCTTGCGTTCCCTCGCGGGCCAAGAAATTATTAATTTAAACATCTTATCGTACGAAATTAATCGCCTCGATAAGACACGCGACCGTTTTATTCTATTATGCTATCTATTATGCCTCGAAAAAGATAACAATAATAATTACAATTGATTCAAGGGCTCTGAATACATTCGTACAAAGTTAAAGTATATTTTTTTTGATCCAATACTCTGGAAGCGTCACTTACTTTGTGTTTGCCGGTTATATCCGTCGTCGCTTGATTCTCACGACACAGAGGTGCGTGATTCGCAAATAGAATGCCACAGCTGGCGTTAAATTAGTTTTCGACATCGCTTAATTAATGTATAAAATTTCGATAGGAGCTGGTATCGCGTAGATGATTCAATGAAATGTGTCTACCCGGTAAGAAATAAAGTTGCCTGCAGCTGAGAATATGTGCCCCCTGAAACGTGACATTAATGTCCCCGTCGTGTCTTGCGCGCTTTAATCACTTAAGGGTTAGCGAGGCTTTGATGAAATATTCCCGAAGCATCAATTTCGAAAGAAGGTTATCCGGGAAAACGGCGTCGTACCGCCAGGTACACGAAACCGGCACGAAATCTATCATGGCACGTGGCCATTATTGTCACACACGTGTTCGCGAAACGAAAACGAAACAGGCTCGGCCCGTCGCAATCGGTTTCAACGAGCAAGGGGATGATCGATAAACTCGATCTTATCGTGGCGCAGCCGATATAAACGCGTTTACGAAGAAACCGCAAGGCACGGTGAAATGTCGAGTTAATTACCTGGTACTTGCGAACCCTCGATGATTCGAAGTACGCTCTACCGCAGATTGCTCTTGCGAACGTTTCCGAACGAACCGTTAAGACTCGACCGAACGTAATTACCTCGATTGCAATAATTTCTGTATTATTTGTTGCCGCGGTAAAGTGATCACTTGAAATTGATTCGCGGCGAATGCAACAACGTTGACGACACTCGTGATTCTTAGTTGCGGAAAGCGAGCTACGGAGCTCCCAGACACGGTAAAATATTCGAGGGTGGAATGATTTATTTATTTGCTCGCCGTACGGGCGGTTTCGCGAGTATTTATTAAACTTGTCAACGACGAGTTCCATTTAAGCTATTAGGTTGTTGTATACGAAATGTCTAAATATATTTCTCTTGTTAAAGGGGAGAGAGTCGTAGAGTGAATTCACGTAGGCGTAATTAAAATATTAATTCCTAACCGAACCCAGACCCGAATAACGCGAGGACTTTTTTTAAAGGAAGAACCAGCGTTCCGTATTCTCATGGAAATCGCGAAACGAAACGCAGAAGCTACTTGTTCGTTTCAGCGGTTCGGCATAACGCACTCTAGACCGTGGAATTCTGACGTGACGCATAATGCATTCTGCATTCCATTCGAGCCTCTGTGCAACTTCGTATGCGTGCTCGTACGTCAGCGTGCTGCGAGCTGTCGTACCCAGTGAAATGTAGTCTTAATGGTGTTACCGCCCGGCATACCAGATTATGATTTAGGTCATTGTCCATAAATCCACCGCGTTAATATGTAGGCAGCTAATCATTTTCTTTTTACTTTCGATTTGGCCCCGATGTGCAATCTCACAACTAGAATAAACGCTCTTTCCGTAGGCATAAGTGGTCGCTGCTTAATTGTGAGTTAATATTAACAATTTCTCGCGAATAAATGCTAATTCGTCGCGATATAATCGTCGGCATAGTCTCGTTGGGTATGCGAGCGCAGAAATAACTGCAATGTACACATAGAACGCGATACAAATCTTTCGAAACGTCGAGGGGTACTCTCTGTTTTAAATATTTCGTTATATTGCGCTGTTTTTCGTCCGTCGTGGTACATTCGATATTCATACCGTATATCTCTGTAAAAATTTTTCTGCGAGTGAGATCACCTTGCAAAAAATCTGGGTCACCAAGAGCCGCGCAATTTTTAACAGAGAGCCGCATCGAATTACATTACATGCTGAAAGCGTACAATTTTAGGCTAATGCAAAAGTTCTGTCATCTTTTTCGGCCGGAAAGAGCACCGCATCCGTACGAGCGAAGACGCAATATCACCCAGAAATTTTATTAACGTCGCGGAACATGGACCTATCCGCCATACAGCCAGTCACGTTGTTGAGTAACGGTTGTTCAACGTTTATTATTCGTGTAGCATTATATCGTCACGTTCGAATCATTGTTCTCGGTCCTTTTGCTCGTTGCCGAATCGTGAAGTTGCGAAGTATCGAACAGGGTCATTGCGGGATATTATTCCGAAAGGGATCGGTGGCCAATTGATATGAAATTTGGAGGATGTTACGAAGAGTGTGGAAGAAAGCCAAATATAAAATTTTAACTTCGGGAATTCATCCGTTTAAAAGATAGGGATAGTTCAGATGAAGCAAGTATACAAATTATGAAAATCGATACTTCAACAAATATTTTTTTAATTTTTACCATCGCCCTAACGATACGAATTCGCGATGCCCAACTTCGGAATTTTATTATTTTCATACTCGGTATTAGAAACGTATAACATCTGCCGATCGTGCATTTGTTAATTATACATGAATAAGGAATATTTGGAGCAATATCCAGGGCACGACTAACCACCTAAAATAAATTACACTCGATAGTATCGAAGTACATAAAGCATTCTGCTTTTAGTTTTCGCTACGATAACCTACACTTCCCCGTAAAAAATTCATCGCGATCGAAATGCTTCCTCGAGAAAATTGCTGCCGCGGGAAACTCCGCGCAGCCCGTAGAACTGATACCGCGTCTCCTCTCGCAAATCGACTCTTACACGGCTGATTTGTAAAGAAGCGCTCGCGAGGAGCTTGTAGCATCAGTCGGGGAACTGTATAAAACGCTTCTTTTGCCCGCCATTGGTCCACGGTTCGCGCGCTTTTATCAGCCTTCGAACGGTACCTGGTAGCGAGATAACGGCACCCAATTCGTCGTCGTTGCACGTAAATACGTACATGTTTGGCTACGTGCGGACCGCGCGTTACAAGTGTGGGTCTGTGTTTGTACGTTCGTACCGGAAGAACACGCGAACCTGGTGCAACGATCGATCGCAAAAGTTATGTAATGAGTCTCCATGTACGCTGACTCCCTCAGGGCGACCGCCAAAATCTAGGTTATCGAGTTCCCTACGGTGCACGCATTTCAACCCACACGCAGTACCGTATTATCCCACGGGCACGCGAGACACCTGCTTAGGGCCTCCGTCGCGTTGGACCTTCAAAATCAACCTTTTAAGTGTTCAGTCATTTGTATACAGTCGGTAGTAGCTGTGACTCTTTTCAGGAATGAGAGGTCTGTTCTACGAGAGCGTGATATTTCTGAAAAGACTAATATTTAATATACACTTGTTTGATGATGAATAGACTGTGAATTTCTATACATTTATAGGACATTTGAGTGATATTTCTGAAAAGACTCATCTTTTTGTAGAAACTTCTATGTACAGGATGTGTCTGTTTAGAAGACTAATTTGGTAATAAGACTAAGACTTGTTTGGTAATGAATGGACTACGAATTTTTATGCATTTATAGGAAATTTGATTATGCAAGAAACTACAAAATGCACAAGTTAATGTATGAAATTGGAAGTGTTTATCAACGTAACTTCAATCGAGACAATGATCTACAGTGAGATCCGTTATAACGGGAGACGATCGAGTGCACCCGTACCCGACCACAATTCAAAGTCGATTTTCTCGAAAACAAAGCTTCGCATGAAAACATTTTATTCTATATTTTCGACTTATTCTTTCATGTGGAATCACTCCCCTTTCGCTTGTACCGCCAGTTACCGAACACCCTGTATAGTTTAATCATTTTTAGTGGCATCGAAAGTGTCTACAAACACGCATAAAGCGTCGGAACCGCGAACACTGAATGACAATTTCGATATAAAAGTAAACGCACGCATATGTGTCAATATCCCCCAAGAGGTTAATACATTCTCCTTCGTTCACTGTCGGTGTTTAGCTTCTGCCCCCGATGCGAATAATTGAAGCGCTGCAACTTGCGACACTTTCGACCCCTCCGATAGAAAAGATGCAGACGAAACTATCAGAATCTGCTGACACGAAACGCGACTGCCTTCAGGAAATTCAGCAACTAGAGCCCGATAACCCAGATTCAGATGTAGCAGCATAACATTCGAGGCAGGCGATGCAAGTATGCATCGCGGCCCCGGTTTAACGAGTTCGTGGCTGCAAAATTAATCCTCGAACTCTAATATCGTTTCCCAGAATCATGAACTTCCGGTTAAATTGAAAACAATGCCACCTTGACACCTCCTTTATCATGTTATTTCGTTATTGTAAATGGTACATGGCGGAACGTATATTATTAATTTAGTTGCAATTATATTTCTCTTGCTCCGTGCAATGGGCTGAAGTAGAATGAGACAATGGTCAGACACACTACGCGTATCGTTACAGCTATGCATACGACAGGGACTGCATATTTTCACTACGACAGTCTAATAGCTGATAAAAAAAATGAATCCATCGAGGTTCAATATGTTGACCTGCACGTGAAATTTAGTTCGTTTCATATCGCCAGTTTCGTTTCTTTTTAATTATTTACAACTAAGTTACAATCTATCCAGCGACGCACAGCGCGTAGTTTGTAAACAATGTCTAGATATTGCTTAAGAAATAATAAACAGAATACTTTTAAGGAAAATTCTATGATATCAATTACAAAATTGTTGAAACTGGTTGGCTCCCTGCCGTATGCATAGCTGTAACGATACGCGTAGTGCGTACTGACCATTATCTCATTCTACTTCGGCCCATTGCACGGAGCGTAACGCATGGGATATTTGTTTCTTTTTAATTATTTAACCATGTTTCAGGACTGCGACCGTTCTGAAACTTTTACATGTATCAGCTAAATAACCGATCATCATTCCTGACTTGTTTGGTAAGTTTCACTCGCAGGGTTGTTTGCAATTACCACCCGCAAAAAATAAATGATTTATTTATTAAACTGTATATCTCGAAACTAAAGAACGTAGTTCTTATATAAATTATGGTACGAAGGACACTTTTAGTGGATAAAATTTAAAGAAGAGTGTCAGTTTGATTATTTCGACAACTTTCTCGGAAATGACGTCAAACGAAGTTGGTAAAACAACCTTCGTGAGACATTTTGAAAGTAAACACATTAATTCTGACGCGAAATCATGTTCCATGTAAGAAGGCCGAACTTTCCGCGTTCTTCTGTGGAAGCAAACGATGCCTTGCACCAACATTAACGTTGAATATCCCGAAACAAATACGTGGTTCTTTTACGATACTGTAATCGTCGCTGTACCATCGTCGCTGTAACACGCGAAAATAAGAAATCGCGAGAACCGCGGGGATCGGAAGGAAAAACCCTGGAAGAACCTCCGAAGTTTCCGCATGTAAACAGGTCCAATAGCTAGAAACATAAATCATGATGTTTAACCATGTTCTTCGTGTATTTCGAATAAACAGCAACGAATATTTTAAGGGGTTAGTTTTAGAGGTTGTTTTTGATCGATACAGGTGCGTCGTGTCTTTGAGTGAAATTATCTTTGGGTTAAATTACAAAACACAGGAGAAAGGTCCAATTGAGAAATAATACACCTGACGACACGTTGGACTACTTTAAAACCTTAAAACGTTGAATGCTTTTCATTGTACTTAAAGGATGTTTTACAGTTCTAAGAATAAATTGCAATAAGTCTCGATTAAAAATTCAAAGTATTATAGATTGTAGCGGATATACATAAACTCCGCATCTAGACAATATACAGTTATAGAAAACGTGAAACATGTTTTTCTAGAAACCACGCACTTTCAAACAAGCAATAAGGCGTCAAACTGAGCTAAACTCTAGAACTGCAGTTACGAACGATTGAATGTAAAGGCGCAGAATTAATTTGTACGCCTGAGATACACCACCTAAGCTAGGACGTATATATATATATTCGAAACGAAACAAAACATGATCCTCGGAGAAGCAGCCCCTGGAGGGAAATCGGGCTGTTTAAATTCGCGGTTCCAATTCGCCGCGGTGTAGCGTGCCAATTAAATTTCATTGTAATAATCGAGTCTGCGGCGGTGTCGGCGGATCTCGGAGACGATGCATCTGGAGGGCCACTTCCTCTTTCATCCAGAAACGGTCGGCTCGATTAGCGCTCCGAGGGACGAAGTTTGAAAATCCGTCGAGCGTGATAACTTTTCTCTTCTAACGGCGAAACTTTCGGAGCCATTTCGTTCGACAGAGAAATCAACGAAACGAACAAAGGAAGAAAGAGAAGAGAAGAGAAGAAGGTGGAGAAAACGTTGGGTACACGAGGCGAAACACCAACGGGACCGAAATGAATCGCATTGAATCAGGGACAATTGATAGTTTTACCGTGTACGCGCTACGTATAATATTCGCAGTATGTCATTACCGCCCATGAATAATGTAACGCGTGGAAATGCGTTTCGAAATCGGCGGTGTTTCCGTGGCGAATTAAGTGCGCGAATATTGTGCATCGTGTTTGCAATCTAGTATCGCGCCGCGATTAACTCGAACGCTTTTAGAACAATGGTAGCGAGAGGCGTTGTGCGAAGAAAAGATTTGCTCGGTATATTCTTAGGTCGATTGCGTCTATTAATTTTGTACTAAAAAAGAAGCTAAGAGATCGGAACAAATCGTTTTGATGGAAGTGAAGGTGACGCACGCTCCATGAAAAATCTTCGAAACTGAATATCGAGGGAAAATTGTAACCGGACTACGAGGTCAGGAAAATCGGATGTTTAATAAATTATACTTCGCTGGTGTAATACCCGGAGGGAACCTGAAAAATAAAGTATCAAGGTCCGACGGTGACCCAATTATTTCGGAAAGTTTTTTTTTTTTTCGCGAAAGTATTACATTTTACTGTGCCGGTTATAAAAGGCGAGGAATACTAATTCTGGATTTTGTTGGCGTGCAAGTAATGCGTGCAAAGTTTAACATCGACGAATAAAACGTGAGGAAATATTCGTTCCCGATAGCTTTTTTCCGATGCTCGAAACGCGACGTGTAATTTAAAACGCTGAAATTACTGCATTAATTTGTTATACACCTGTTAAAATTGAATCGTGTATTTTTTTTCGCTCGCTTTTTTGTGTGTACATTTGCAATATTACAGCGACGAATGACAAACACATCGTAATTTATTGATAATGAAAAGTTATGCGACGACAAATATTTATCGCGTCACGAAACTGCATTTATTTGGTGGGTAAATGTTCGTACGCGAAGCAAATAAAAAAAGTAAAAAAAAAACACTGCAATATACTAAAAGGTTCCGTTCCGTTAGAATATTCGACTCAACTCACTAAAATCTATACTCTAACCCAATTACCGTTTCACCGCTAAACTATAAAGAATATATTACCTCCGCGCCAATAAACTCCAAAATTACTATGCTCCGCTCGGTTCGGCAACTACAATAAAAGAACGGTAAAAATTCCACAAAAATTTTCCGGGCGAACGAGGTCGACCGTTTAAATCCACCTTACCTCGAAAACTGCTTAGCACGATCCAGCAAAAAAATAAGGTAGCGAGTCGAGATTATAATAAAATGTGAAAAATTAGAAACTGCGTACAGAGTACACAGGTACGAGTATTATAAATAGAATGTGTGGAAACTAAAAGATTAACTTCTCGAGGGGCATAGACACGTACGTTTGCTTTTATAACAAAATTATATTTAAAATTAAATTATTTAGAATCGAAATACCTTTTAAAATTAAACAAATACGTAATATTAAAGAAGGACGGTATATTTGTGTGTTTAAATCATTTTACAGATAAAAATTGCTTTGATTTATACGTACTCAATTACAGCAAATAAAATCCATTTAAAATTCGTCCCTCGAGAGATTCAATGAAATATATTATCAAAGATCTACGACAAATGGATCGGAAGAAATGAAAAAACAATATCATGTAACGACCTAACAATCTAACAGTCGTAAATAAACAACGAAGAATAAATATCGATGAGAAATGATATATGGTGTTCGTCGTGTGTAATTTGAAATACGAATATTCAAAAATGTGGGATATAATTTAGCAAATTTATTAATACGCTTGTACGCAGGATACATGTAAATATGCAAAATATATGCAAACTGTGCAAATGTTGCCATCGTCATTATCGTTATCATTGTTGTAGTCATCGTCATCGTGACGTGCCTACGCATCACGTATATTATGCATATTATATTATACGTGCATAATGCAGTAGTACGTCACATTCGTGTAGATATTATTTCATGTACCTTGTACATTTTACACGCTGCATGATGCCCATGACGCGAAAGAAAATTCAAAAAATATGAATGTGCACCCGTAATACATTTTCTTATGGAATTGAACATAAATAGACTGCGGACGTTCATGCATTTATGTAAAAATGTGTAAATATCATACGTGAAATATGAAAATACATCGCAGGAACATACGCAGAAATATAACAAAGTATGGAAAGAATATGTGATATATATTAGGTTGTCCCAAAAGTTTATTTCGCTTTATTAATAATTATGTTACATTACTGAATTGTGCACGATTCATTTTGCTCCATTACTGTTACAACATGAATACACAGGGTGTCCCAAAAATGTTGTAACAGCTTGAAAGGGGTGGTTCGGGAGGTGATTTGAAACAACTTTTTCCTTAGCGAAAATGTTGTCCGAGGCTTCGTTGAGGAGATATTAACGGAAAACACTGACCAATCAGAGCGCGCGTATACCGTTGGAGCGGCCGCGGTAGCGTATGAGCGCGGCCGCCTAGCGCGTAACCTACGCTCAACCGGCATCCTCGCGCTCTGATTGGTCGGGGTTTTCGCTTAATATCTCCTTAACGAAACCTCGGACAACATTTTCGCTAAGGAAAAAGTTGTTTGACATCGTCTCCTGAACCACCCCTTTCAAGGTGTTACAACATTTTTGGAACACCCTGTATATGAAATTAGATTGTCTATTAACATAAACACGACCACATAAAATAATTGAGTGCAACTCGCGAAAGAAACATTCGGGACAACCTAATATATATAATAAGTACTGCATGTATTGAAAATATGCAATATAGTAATGGTAAATGTAGTAATAGTGATGGAATCCTAATTGTTTCCTTATTATAATTGTAATACAAGTGACCATAAACTATAAGCTTTTACCTTATTAGTTGTTATCAATTGATGAAGTTTATCAGTGAAAATTAATTTATAACCGGATGTGATCAGAGCGTATTAAAAATTCCAATAACGATATCTAACCTCTCGGCTTTTAAACATTTTATTTAGTTAAATTTCAATGATCCTCAATATAGTTTATATTTCAGTACTTCTTTTCAGTACTGCGCTCCATTTTGTTCCAATTTTGTCTCTGAAATAAATCAAGCAATTAGGGAAGAATGATGTCGATATATCCCTTTCTCCCCTCTACGCCCTGTGTTTTTTACCAACCATTTCTAAGTTATTTTACTTGTTCCCATTGACCCCGGTCTCCCCTACTCCACGTGAGCGTACAACAATAAGAAGAAACAAGATATTCCAAAAAACGCTCCATCGAAACGAGGTTAAGCCTGTGAAAAAGTCAGCCGCGCATCGAACGCGACACCCGTTAGAATATCGCGAAGAAAAATGACATAAGACATCCCCGTACCGACTCGGGCGCCATATGACCGTCTCTGTCTCCAAGCTCTTCCCCTCTCCCAGCGTGTTCTGCCTACCGCCGTCGATATCCTACTACCGTCATTCCTTGCCCTCTCCTCGAACCCGTGCCACCCCCGTCCCGCACCCATTCGTCCACCCACCTACACCCCCGCACTCACGCCAACACTCACGCACACCGCTCCAAGGCGCCACCACCACCGTGGACGGGTTTACCTGTACCACCGGTACCACCACCTCCAGCCCCGGTGACCAACACTAATTTTAAGAGGGACTTTCGGTGCATCGTCTTGTGGGAGTAGGACAGAGCGTCGGAAGAAAGGAAGAGGCCACTGGAAAGAACGAGACGGGAGCTAAAGGACGAGTCGAAGAGAGAGTCGAGAGCGAGGCAGTCTGTGGGACAGGGAACCCAGTCTAGAATGAGCACGAACAAGCGAGAAGGACGGAACGCGGACGATTGGTAGGGGAGCGACGAGGACAGAGCCAGGGGGGCCAGTTACACGAAGCTAGAGAGTAGAACACAAAAGAGAAGGTAGCGAGAGAGCATAGTTTAGCATGGCACGACACGGCATATCCATAGACATATACACTGTGTCTATGGGCATATCGACGAGATCCGAGCACAGCCGAGGACAACCGAGCAGGGCCGACTCGGACCCTGCGCGCTCAACCCAAACCCGAGGAAGCATAGTTGCATTTAAACTGCGATCCCACCGAGGTCTCTCTTCCGAGTAGTCCGTCGGCTTGCCCAGCCACACTCGAGGAGCGCGCGTATACCTCGAGGCACGTACACCCGCACTCCGGATACCGAAACGCCGCGACACTTGTCTCTCGCCTCCGTATCCCCCTCGTCGTCGCTATTTTTTTTTTCGCCTTTGTCCGCGCCGGGAGGGGGAACGAAAACGTACCGGAAAAGTGTCCAGAGAACGAAAAATGGGGTTGTCGCGCGTCATCGCGGCGGGGAAACCGGGACGATGATTTTTCTTCGGGAGCAGTGACGAGAAAAACGAGTAAAACGCGCGCGGGACGAGTTTGCTCGGAGGTGTTCATCGGGCCTCCAGTGAATAGTGTCGCGGAAACGGTACGTTGGTTCAAGGAGGAAAAGCTGATCGTTGTTGCCGGATATCGAGGGAACGTAGAACACCATACAGACGCTGTTTAGCTGCTTTTTATGGCTTTCCCGTCGAATCAAGTGGAAATTCGATCGATCCCATAGCGGTCGGAGCAATCTTCTCGGCTTCGCTCGTACGCGTCGTTCCGCGCTGTCGGAAAGTCGAATTCGATTCGTCCAGATAGTCCGGCCCGGGACTGTCAAACTTCCGCTCAGGATCAGCTGCTTCGCGAGCCATCCGTGTATACGGGATGTCCTAGAAGTGTGCGTCGTCTTTTTTTTTCCGCTCCGTTCGTCGAAGTTTTACGTGCGTCGAGTGGGGAAAACGACGGTCTCGTCTGGTAGCTTTTGATTCATTTCGGTGACAGAGATGGGCATCATTTACCTCGAATAATTGATAACGAATAGGGTGCGCGATTCATTCATTTGTAGCGTCTGTTAGCCTACTCCATTCGTAAAACGTTTCATTCTGCGATTAACATTCTAGTTCAAAGATGGACGAAATTTTCTTTCCGTAATTGATAACGTATGGAAAGTTAATCGTGACGTTTATTGGACAGTTATATTATTGATTGTTAACTCGTGTAATATTTCGTTCCGTAATTAATATTCTAGTTCAAAGATGGACGAAATTTTCTTTTGTTAACGGATTGCGTACAGGAACTTTACTCGTGGAGTTTATTCAATCGAAGAGTTCAATTTTTAAGCCTCCATTGTGGAATCTTTCATTCCGACAGATAAGTTCAGCTTTTATTGGTTGTTCGAAATTTTGATCCAAGTGTAAATGTTGGCCACCTCTGTTCCGTCGAAATGTCACTTTTTGGGAAGGCAATCAATCGGGAAAACCCTATACCAGGTATGGGCAATAATTTTATTCGAGTAATCGATAACGAGTTGAGTCAAAGTGTAACAATGTATTGAAGAGTTAAACTTTTATTCCACAACTCAAATTTCAATTTCTAATTAACGAATGATGGACGAACAGTCCATCTTTTATTCATTGTTTGACATTTTTATGTATACCTTTCGTGCTCCATTTTAGCTAGAAATGCTTTATCGACCAAAAAACCCCTCCAAGAATTTTTCCGCAAGGCTTCTCGTGCTTCTATCGAGTAACTTGTTGACGTCTCTCGTGGCCAACACCACGGTCCATAGCGTTTTAAATCTGCAGTTTCACGATTACGCATTCCCACAGAACCAGTGAGCTCGTGTATTACACTTTCGCGACCATTTTTGTCGAATCCATGGATTCACTCGCAAAATATCTCGACACAGGTGTATGGATCAATAAAATATTTTGATTTGAAAGTTACGTAACTCTGCAGAATCGGAGTTAAGCAAAATTCGATCTAGATAAAAAATAAAACCTCCGAGCAGCGATTTATATATACGCTTTTTTTCCTTCGATGTGAAACATAATTTGATGGGTACCGTAGGTATCGCGGGGTATTCGCAGCCATTTATAATTCAACGTTGCGACCTACATTGTTATATATTCCACAATAAAATAGAATAAAGCGTAGAGAATCTACCAACACGAAATACACTCACAAATATTGAAAATATGTACTATGACAATTATTGAATGAATATCGGATGAAAAGTTTTTATCCAGATGATAATAGTATTCGTCTCCGCGCAAGATTATGTGTCACAAATATTGAAAATATGTACTATGATAATTATTGAATGAATATTGGATGAAAAGTTTTTATCCAGATGATAATAGTGTTCGTCTCCGCGCAAGATTATGTGTCATGGGTTGCTCGTGCTTCTTCCTCCTTAAATAAATACATAAATTTGGTACTTAGGACTCGAAGAGCCAACTTTGAATTATCGATTCCATCGAAGTCGTTTCTTTTGCCTTTCGTCGGCATTCGGACACCGAGAACACTGTGTTGCGCGCTGCTCGAGTTAATTAGTCCGGTTAATTGCCTTCGTTATATCGGGAGAGAGAGAACTTTTCACTCGACGAGACGGGAAGGGAAACAAGTTTTTGCAAATTGTGTTATCTCTGATTTCGTGATTTCTTGCCAACCGCGTTGAACTTTTCTCGTTGCTCCAATGTTCTCATAGTTTCCGACAAAGCCAGATTCCATCGTTCGCTTCGATTCGGAAATGAACAATATTTATCTTCATATTTTATTCGTTTAACGTCTTCGTTGCATTTGACAGAGAGATTCTCTACAAGAAGAGTAAGCGTTCTACAAATTCAGTGCACAACTGATTAATCGCTGTACGTTTTATTCGTTATCTATTATTCCGTTCAATTTTGCCCGCGTCTACTTCAAACTTCTTAGGAGTTTTTCGTCGCGACGTGAACGTTCAGGTGTTTTCGGAGAACGAGGCAGGACCTCGCGGATTCGTTTCGGAAGTACACTTTCCTCATTATCGCTCGACAATTGGTCCACGAAGGACGACCAAACGCTGTTGCTACGTGCTCGACGGTGCCACCTTTAAAGCCGATACCGCGAAATAAAGTGCTCGCCGTGACAGAATTCTAACGAGTCCACGAATAATTGTAGAGTGTACCAGAAGGGTTGTGTGCCAAAGTCAGACAGGCAGAGATTCTTCATAATTGGATAGTGTCGTTGCTAGAAAGAACTACTGTGTCAGCAGTTAAACGTAACACGTTCGATAATGTTCCCTCGTTAAAGACTTTTGTATTTCATTTTGCGATAGTGAATTCAATCAGACGGTTTAGAAGATACTCTCTCTGGAGTGCATGTGTGCTCATATATCAAGGACAATTTTAATAGGTTTCATTTTATTACGCGTAGTTTTGAATGAAGGATTTGTTGTTACGAATCAAACATTCAAAGTCAATGTAAAATATATTTTAACGAGAAACACGATCATAATTGAAGACAAATTATTATATATATATATATATAACTTTACTTGACTGTACTTTATTTTTATTCTCATATTCTCATTTTTCTTCATTCATTCTCAGATACATAATTTTTCAATAATTATGATTCAGTTAATTATGATACTTGTTCTGGACTTCCACTCTACAGAAACTAATATTGTATCACCACACATTTAATCGACATACTTCAATGGAGAAATCATGCTCAAAGTCGATACACGTGGTAAAAGATGTTCTCTTTTTTGCAAGTTAGGTTACATCCACCGTAGAATTTCTGGCCGGCTAACCAGTGATTCGTTCGAAAAATTAAACACTCTGTATGACAGCCTTCCGTCTCCCCTCTCTTTTTTATTTCCTAGCGTCGAGGTTCGATCCTGGCCGTAAAATTTCACCCATCGGAATTGCGCTGTTCGCGTCTGAAACAATACCCGCCGCGGAAAAGGATAAATTAATTGGACATCGCTTCGGATAATGTTGGCGCTCCCCTGTAAAACGTTTCGTATCGAGCGGCTCGAATTAACGTAATAGTCCCGCTTATCGATATCCGATCGGTTCAGGGGTGCCAACAAACACGTTCAATATTTAACTTCTCGTTCCAGTTGTATTGTTTGAGGATCGTTACGCCCCGAACCTTTCCCTTCCGCTCCGAGCGGCGCACAAACGCAAATTATCGGCGGTGAACGAAAGTTCTGGCCCCTTCTTCGCACCTCCGATTCCGAGTATCCATTTTTAAGCCTTTCGACCCATTTCCCCTCCGTAGCTCCGAGCACCTCCTCTCCCCTTTCTGGCTTCCTTCCGATTCGCGAATCATGCGCGTTCGCTCGAGACGAGTCCAAGTGACTGTCGCACAGTGGATTGTTTGACTTCGACATTCGACCGGAATTATTTCATCGGTCAAAGAGCATAGACGGTTCGACGCAGATATTTAGTGAAATTAAATTAATAGACACGCGAAGAGAAACCAGATATTGGGTTGTTTCCGAAAATGCTTCGTTATTTTGTTTGTGAAAAGGAAATAATTATTTTGTAATATTAGGTGTAGATGTTAATTCCGCGTTCTCTAAGACAATGTTACCATTTTGTTTATAAGGAAATATTATGCAAGTCTCAGCCTGGTGGACATCACAAGTTTTTTTTCGTTTATGAAGTTAAGTAATTTACAAATTTTGCTTATTGTTGCTCTTCTAACAGATTGCACTTGACTGTTATTAGGTGTAGAAGTTGATCCTCTGCCTTCGTATTTCATTATTTACAACGCTAGTCTAAACAGAATTATTTACCCGTGACCCATATTTGGGTGCAGGGCTTCTCACTAATTGTAAGAAAGTGAATCAGTTATTTCCATAGATGAGATTTTACGGGAAATACGTCTACATAGGATTCGTGAATTTGAGAAAGTTGCAAAAACGAGTCCTAGTATAGATTCGACATAAGTAAGTTGTATAGAAACAAAGCCTTAGACTCGTACAAATTTGTATGAGTAATCTATCGAATCCTATACGTTCCTTTGAAGTTTGGTTTTACAACTGCGCGTGCCCTCCTGCAACGTATGACCGAGGAAAAATTGAAAATTTCTATTTTTTCTTAATACACAAATAAGAATATTCATCGTGTGCTTTAAACTATTCGAAGCGTAATCGATACTGCCTTCGTCGAAACGAAGAGCACGCGCTCACCTTAGCTTTGAAATATTACAAATTACTCGTTTATATTATAATTGCAGATTGCTCACTGCTTGCACGCTGTGAGTGATTTCAACAGATCTAATCAGAAAGTGTAATCACGGCCCGACGATGGTTCGCTTCCACTCGCGTTCGGTGGGGTGTATTTGAATGGCTCGTTTCGTTTTTATTAATAAAGATAATGATAACAATAAAAATTTATTGAGCCCGTCGAGCGAGACACGAGTCAAATCGCCGCCGCCGCGGCCGGATGGAATGGACGCGACGCGATCCGGCCGACAAATTGCAATCCCAATTCGCAGCTTCTGTAATTACCGTTGATACTTGGTTCCGTGTCGCGGGATCGTTACACGCCGACCAAAAGGTAATTTCTTACTCCGTGTAATAACACGCTCCTACGGCTTGTGTACACACATCGGCCGCCACTTTTGTGCAACTATTACGGCAATTACCCTGCCTGCACCCCCACCCCCACCCCACCCCCCAACCGCACCATCCCAACCGCGTCGATCGCTTCGACATCAACTGTTGCACGAGTTATCCGCGACTCTCGACGGAATTCGTTACGTGTTCCCGTTGATTAATTGATTCATTAGCCACCAACAAACACGAACTTTCCACTCTGGACCTAAAAATGATCGTTCGGGGAGGGGAGGCAGGACTAGCTGGTGTCTAGACGACCAACAGATTAGGGGTTGTTCAGAGTTTTCCGAATAGGTCGTCGAGCTTTGAATTTATCAGTCCCAGGGACGGGCATTAACTTGTATTAACGCTAGGTTCACGGTGATTCCTTATCGGATTTTCATTAGTGAAGTAATGCTTTAATAAGTGAATTTGAATATATGCTTGCCCTTTTATATGGATAAAAGTCAGCGTGGTTGGTTGGCGAAAAATATAAATGGTTTCTGTAAAACTTTGTCAAATTAGAAATGGGTCACCTAAACCTAACGTTACACTCGTATTTTATTCTTACTGTTTTATTGAGTCAACTCTGATACTTGATTTGTCACAAATGTGTAGATTGCATAAATTAAAAACTATCGTCATTACTGATTCCAAGTCATAGGTATTCGCGTTCTGTCTTTCGAAATTAAGTGTAATTGTAATATTAACGAATATCGAGGGTGACTCAAATGCGGGAGACAATATTTTTACCCAGACCTAACCCATTCGCTACCAGATGAATTTAAAGCGTTTTGCCTTAGGCATCAAGACCTAATACAAATGTATAATCTAAATTATTATTTTCGTAATAAAAAGTGATATTTTTATTCTTTCAAAAAGAAAATTTCCGATCATTCTTTCGTAATTATTCGTGACTCAAAAACTTATCCCTTGAGTAATTGAAATCAGTTTGAACTAGGAGGCATCTCGTAGTGAATTGGTTAAACTTGCCAATTCATGCATCCTCGAATCTATGATTCTTCAAAGAAAATACAAAGTAATTTACCAATTGTAAATCACAACCATAAGGCGATCCTAATGTATCGAACGAAACTCCAATCGATCATTTTAAGTTCACTAATCTCGAAAGTGTGCTCGTTCTCCGTCGAACTCTTTCCGAAGTCCGCCAATTCATCTCCCGATTGGAATCGTTGGTTCGCGCAGACTGAAAATTAGAATTCGTCGATTGGAAGGGAGAATCGGTAAAACTCTTTGATGGGAGGGATAGATCCTCGCGAGTGATCAGGGGAAATTGATGACTGTCTTAATGGAGGAACGAAGAGGAACAGCGTGGATCTTCCTGTTCAACGGAATCGGTAAGTAGGAATGAAATCACTTTTATCGGAAATTTAAGCGCCCCTGGTACGTGGAAAGAGGGTTTAGATGCAACAGGGTGACATGTGCGGTTCCGGTGTGTGCGCAGCGAGGCTTTGCTTAGAGACTGATGCGCTATAAATCGCGTGTGCGAATGTGCGAATCATTGCGGAGGACATAGAGACTCGAGAAAGAGTGATAGTATACTTCGTCGAATAATGTATGCGAAAATTGCAACCTGACTGATTGCTGACACTCGTCAGTTACGTGAAAGCTCGTTGAACTGATTCTATAACTTTCTCTTTATTAACGGATCCATCTAAAACGTTGCAAATAATTAAATCAAATAAATAAATATTACGTGATAATTAAGCAACGGTGATATCAAAATGATAGAAAGCGTGTATAAATTAAAGAGGAAGCAACGCGTAGAACGCGTGAAAATCACGGAACGTGACTTCGGAAAAATACATCAGAAGAAATTAATATAAGCGAGCAATTTTTCTAAACTGTTTATTTTGAAAGTGTTTTTTTAATGGCTGTACGAAAATGTTTGTACTGAGAAAAATAAGTGAATAATAATAAAATAGGTATCCCGGAGTACCAAATCCAAGTAAATTTTCTCGAAAGTTGACATCAATATTTTCAAACTTGTTAAAACGCAAACCCTTAAGGGGTTACACTACTTTGCCCATCCAAATATTCAGGCTTTTTCAAGAATTTGATCTAGCAAGATTTTAGTGACGTCGAAGTACGTTAATGTATTTTAAAAGTATCCGAGTAGAAAATTATTGACGGAATCAAGGGACGCTCTAAACGTCAGCGTGCCAGAGATCAATATAATAGGGGGCCGCGGGGGAGGGGATGATTTTCCTTAATCTGGCCGTTCGAACGAGCTCGAATCGCCTCGGGTCGTTACAACGAAATTACATCACATTTGCGAGGAATACCTTGGCCCGCGTTCCATTGCTCCCCGACACTTTAGAACTCGAAATTATTTTCAACGAGCGCCGAAGCGGCTAGCAATCTGCTGTGTGCGCGTAAGGAGCTAAGAATTTCAACCCCCTAGCCAACTCTTACGTCGCGGAGTTATAACGGCGTCGTTGTAAGGCTTCGAAACGCGAAACGAAAAGCACCTCCCGGGAAATTGAATCGACGCGCGGCGCACTGGTAAATAGATCTCGTCTCTCTCCCTCTCGGAGTCGAGCTTCTTTGCTTTCCAGTTTTGTTCCCCTCCCCCCCCCCGCCCCTCCCTCCCTCCCCCCACCGTCTGTTCTTCTCTTCTTCTTGAACCTTTTTTCCCCTCATTTTTTTTCTCCTCTTCTTTTTTGTGTGGATGGGAGAGGGGTGCCGAAGGTTGGGTGGAGGGAGGGGGGGGGGGCCCAGAGAAGGTGAATAAGAGCGAAGAAAAAGCGGACGAGACGAAGGAAATCCAATTTGTTCGGATTGCTAAATGTCTCACCGGTTGCACGAGATGCAAACACCGAGGTCAGCATAATCTCGGGTAAGTAGCGAAGATTAGAGTTGAAAGGCTCGATTATCAGATATCTTCGCCCCTTCTTTGTCCGTCCGCCTCTCTCTCCCTCTCTTCGCTCCAGGTGATTTTTATCCTACGCCGTTTTCGATTGGGTTGTCGAATAGAATCGGCGGACAATTGTAACGACGATAGTTTCGATAGGGATTGGATTGTTGCGGATGGTCGATGCTGACGAATTTGCCGGAGACGTCGACTCTTCCGGAGTGCCGTTGAATTATTTCTTTGATCTGGGAATTCTTCTGCCCCCCTACCCCTTAAAATCAGATAGTCGATCACCTACTTTAATTAATTTCTCTACGCATCAAAAGTACAGTAATTTAATTCTAATCTAGGAAGTTTATCAAAACTTCTCCTTTACCGGGGAAGTTGACAGGAAAGTGAAGCTCGAGAAACAGTAGTCTGTTCGATGAAGAACGTCGTTAATTTATCGGAAGAAAGACGTCAAGTATTCTTCGCACCCATTGGCGCAATACTCCGTTTTCGAAACGCATACCGCTTGAGACCTATATCACTCGCGACGTTTCATTATGCAGAGACTGCTATGCTCAATATTGCAAAAGACCCCGCGCTCCCAAGTGCCTCCTCCAAACTGCTCTCGGACAGTTTGTAATGGACACAAGGGAAGAATGAATCACCTATTCGTTAACAAACGTTTATCCAATCGGCAGCGAGCGCTACACCGCTGGCCGGTATCACCGAATGTCATGTAACTAAATCTGAACTTCGGTTGTGCGGATTTGAAATTAATATTCGACTAATTAGGGCTGACCTAATTCTGGTCTTTGATTCGAAACTGGAGCTAGGAGTGAATGAACGAGTCACGACTCAGAAATTAATCATTGAGTCGGTTCAATGTCGTTTCTGTTGAAGTATCTTGATTTCCGAAGAATTTTTGAGACTCTACAACGAAGATCTAGCGTTTGCCAATAGGTTTAGAATTTGTCTCCCATCTGAGGACAGGTTTTCCGTAGGTCAGTCTTAAAGAAGCCTCTACAGAGCGCACGTCACGTACAATTAGGAAACACTATATTCTTCAAGTTTATTTACTTTACCGTATACGCGAATCCACGCGCTACTTTATGTAAAGAGTGATTGCTATTAATTATAATAAAGATTATTATCTTCGTCATGTACCATAAAAAGAATTCATAACTTTCAAATGATACGAATTCAAATAATACTGTTCAAGTAAAACGTATTCAGAAGCAGAGATGGAGCAAAACACTAGGCTTCGAATAAATCTGAAGTTTGCCGATATGTTTGTCTCGTTTCCTCTTTTGAACATTCTCCAAAGAAAGAGAAGTTAAAATGCCGGATTGATACATCTCTGACATTCTTTCTTGACATTAGGTTGGAAACAGTAACTACTTTATCCAAACCTTGCCACTTGCACATGTACCCTTAGATATGCGATCAGTAGTGATGTTAAGGGGTGGAAATCACATTAGGAGTGTGTTTTTCAATTAGCGCAAAAATGATGTATTTAAAATTCATCCCTCAAAAGATTAAATAAATAAAGCAAACAATAACGAAACATATAACATATAAACATATAATTGCACATTTGCAGTCGAAACATTAATGAATCACTGTCGCTGATTACTTTCCATACTTGCTCAGCCATATCAAAAGCCATTTAAGTCCCATCACAGGTGACTCTCAGTAACCAGTGTCGAGCACTATGTCATCATATATTAATCAATGATTAATGATAACGATTAGCGTTTAATGAAACTCATGATAAATGAATAATGCACGCTATCAAAGCTAATGTAATCATCGGATATAATTGCCTCGTGAATCATTAACCACGAAACGATTGCACTCTTAATTATTGTTGAATCGATAAATTAACAATGGGACGTTAACAACGATGCTCTACATTCGTTTAGAGAGTGTATATGTATCCTACGTTTATGCACTATTGCATAACTTGCAATACTACAAATTCATTAGAATTACTTTCGAAATAATATCACGAAACGTGACAATGTCACTTCAAGAATCGAGTATTAACGAAAGGATAAGACGTTACTCGAAATACTGTTCTGAATATTTAATATTTAGAACTAAAAATCAAGAAATTTCAAGAGATTGCGTGAAAGCGAATCAAGCGTGACAAGTATACAATAAAAATTCTTTCCTGAAGTATACCACCCCCAAACCAGAGTGAAAAATTCCGTTCGCAGCGAAAGATTATCAAACTTCGCAAAGTCCACGCGACTCGAGTTACAGTTTCCTCCAAACACCAAAGCACTTCAACCCGTCGAAACTTATTGCTCGTCTTGTCGGCCAAAAGGCAGGCCCCGAAGAAGGAAGAGCAAAGGAGAAATGGCGACGCTCATAAATTCGACGGTGCACCAAATCGTTCGTGGGAAGGAATGTCAGGTCCGAGATACTTTGACCCCATGACCCCAACGGTCGTGCGCCATGGCGCCTACGCTGGGCGCGCGCACCAGAATTCAAAAGTGCCCCGTGACTTGGGGGTGAATCGCGGAAAACCTTGGTCTCGTCATTTTTCCAACGCGGACTGCCAATTGATCCGAAGGATCCGAAAAGGGGAAGGAGAAGGCGGACGCTCGGCGTCGATGGGTCGCGAGAGGTGCCTTCAATGGAGCAACCAACGGTCGCTAAAGTCTCTTCATTGTAACCGTGGGCGACAAAAGATCTTTGGAAACGTGGAAAAAGAACTATCATCTAAATTGAATCCGTCTTCTCCCTCGTTCCATCCTCCAGGCCTGTTTTCCTCCGATCTAAATCGTTCGCTTTTAATTAAGGGGTTATCGACGTCTTGAAAATTCTATAAAATTGAAAATTTCATGTTCAAGCTTCAACTTTAAAAAGTTAAAGGTTCGTTGGAAAAATGGAATTCCTCGAAAAATGTCTTCCAAGTTCTCAATTTTTATCTCTGAAACTAAACGTCGTGTGAATTAACTATGAATATAAAAAAAGTTTCGTTTCTTTATTGCCTGTGAGGTGATATTTTTGTTAAATTCGATTGTTCGACTGTTGTTGTTTTTTTTTTTTCTTTAAGACAAGAACAGCAGGATCGTTACGAGATCCCAGGAAAAAGGTTTTTTAAGCTTTTAAGTTTTCTTTTAGAAACTAAGCGTCCTATAAACAAACTTTAAATGTAAAAAAGTTCCGTCTTATCATTCCTTATAAGCTGATATTTTTTTTAAATTCACACCTCTGTTCAATAATCAATGATCATTGAGTGCAACGAACTTTAAATAAATCACATTTAATTCAACAGTAATTAATTCATAGAATAGTGTGAGAGAGATGCTGTTGTAGAAAGCAAACATCGATTTTACACACATGTCCGATTCAATTAAGATTGAAGTATACGAGAAAAACTGGCGCAGCGAATACGTTAACTTTGCAACGGGCAACCGAATAATAGAATGCGTGCGTATGGCGATCGTTGGACCGACGGAACAACGAAAGGAAAGAAATAAAAGA